TTTTTCAAGAGGCACCTGGACTTTCTGGTTTTTCTCTGAAGACATTTTGCTTCTCATCCAAGAAGCTTCTTCAGAACTTCTTCTTCAAGGTCTATGGAGGTTCTCAATCATCCAGGTCATGGTTGTCCCAAAGGTGCTTTTTCAAGAGGCAACTGGACTTTCTGTTTTTTTCTTTCCTTGAAGAGCTGAAGAAATTTCTTGGATGAGAACCAAAATGTCTTCAAAAGAAAAAAACAAGGAAGTCCAGTTGCCTCTTGAAAAAGCCTCTTTGGGACAACCATGACCTGGATGACTGAGAACCTCCATACACCTTGAAGAAGACGTTCTGAAGAAGCTTCTTGGATGAGAACCAAAATGTCTTCAAAAGAAAAAAACAAGGAAGTCTAGTTGCCTCCTGAAAAAGAATCTTTGGGACAACCATGACCTGGATGACTGAGAACCTCCATAGACCTTGAAGAAGAAGTTCTGAAGAAGTTTCTTGGATGAGAAGCAAAATGTCTTCAGAAGAAAAAAACAAGGAAGTCTAGTTGCCTTCTGAAAAAGAATCTTTGGGACAACCATGACCTGGATGACTGAGAACCTCCATAGACCTTGAAGAAGAAGTTCTGAAGAAGCTTCTTGGATGAGAAGCAAAATGTCTTCAAAAGAAAAAACAAGGAAATCTAGTTGCCTTCTGAAAAAGAACCTTTGGGACAACCATGACCTGGATGATTGAGAACCTCCATAGACCTTGAAGTTCAAGAAGTTTGGAGGAAGCTTCTTAGATGAGAAGCAAAATGTCTTCAAAGAAAAACCAGGACGTCCAGTTGCCTCTTGAAAAAAGCACCTTTGGGACAACCATGACCTAGACGACTCAGAACCTCCATAGACCTTGAAGAAGAAGTTCTGAAGAAGGTTCTTGGGTGAGAAGCGAAACGTCTTCAAAAGAAAAAACCAGAAAGTCCAGTTGCCTTCTGAAAAAGAACCTTTGGGACAACCAGGACCTGGAGGATGGAGAATCTCCATAGTAGACATTTCTTAGAAAGCTTCTCATCTAAGAAGCTTCTTCAGTCCAATTGATCCCAGCTCCTGAAGAACCTTCTTGATCTTGGAAGATTTTCAGAACTTCTCAAGGGAGCAGGAGATAGCTGTACATCGTCACACAAGCACAACTTTTGATTGGGATGTTGAATTTAAATTTACCGAATCCCAGAAGCTGACGGGAGCTCAATAGCTTGAAACAGATCTATGCTAGTCTCCCTTTATTTTTTTTGTCGGTAAACATAAATTCAACACAAAAATAGTTTGTCGTGGAAGCAACTGCCTGCGAAGGCTCCTGTCTTGGGGGCGGAAAGGCAGAAGCGGAAGCCTTATGGCTTCATCTCATATTTGTGTTCTGACCCAGGCTTCCTTAGAAAGCAAGAAGCAGAGTCTTGGTCCCGGCAAAAACCCCTTTTATTTACCCGGCTTAGCAAAGGCTTAGCAAATTCCATCTTTCAAAGGAATGTTTACCAACATGAACCTTATCTCGTTTGGAGAGCTGCCAGTTTCCCAATGCAGGGCGAGGGAAAACTTGGCACAGAGCCTCTTATAGTCACAAACAGAACTTTCCCCTCTTGAAATGACCGAAGGAATGAATTGTTTCCTGTAAAAGCCCCCTCCCCATTCGCTCCTCTTTTGTTCCCTATGGGAGGGGCCAATCACCTCCAAGGTGTGGATTTACTCCCAAGTCGGCCCTGCTTCCTTAGTTGTTCTTGTCTTCTGGCAGCTCTGTGCATGCACACACTGGGAACAGGCTCCAGCTGTTCTTCTGCCTCGTTGCTGTCTAGCTCCCTCTCTGCCTCGCACGCAGAGCCCTCGTCTGAGCTTTCCTCAGCCCCCAGGACTGCCCCCTGTTCCTCCCCAAATTCCTCACTGTCCGACTCTGCGGGCCACAACACTGTATTCCAGAGGGATAAGAGACAGTGGAGTTTAGATAGTTTGGTTGGGAGGAAGAGAGTTAAGGCGGCTCCTCCTTAGAGCTTCTCATCACCTTTATTGATGCAAATGCTTGCTTCACTCTGGCAAGATTCTGTCTATAGGTGAGGAACAATAAAGGGAACTGCTTGGAAGAGCCTCAACGTGTCGTTCTTGGTTTCTGGAACCTGATATTTTTCTTTGTTTTCTTACTTTCCTCTTAAAGACTGAAACGGTCAGCTGCCAAGCGACACCCCCAGCGGAGTCTGAGACAATAGTTGGGTCAGTTGAGAGCGCCTTTGACTGGACGAATGCCAGGAGGACGATGAACGGTGAGAAGCCGAAGAGGGAGGAGACCGTCTCCCAGGTGACTGGTACCAACCTGTCCACCTCAAATTATGGGACTTGTGAGACGCAGCTACCCAACACTCTCCAACAGCAGCAACTTGAGAGACCGAAGGGGAAGAATGGGACCAAGCCAGTCACGGTGTCTATGGACTCCTCCTGTTTGTTGACTCCGCCTAACACACCTCTGATCTTTGACTCCATCGGCCTGGAATTGTCTCCAGAAGCTACACCTGGGAAGGACATCCCAGAGTCTCGGAGAAACGGACTCAACGGCGCCAAAACCCCAACCCAGGAAGGTACGAAGGAGGATTGTT